CCTTGATAATCGACCAATCACATTCACTTTATTCACTCGTGTAAAGTCGGGCACCACTCGGGAGAATTCGGAAATGCAACGGTTGGAACAGCCGCTTCCCTACGACTTTAACCGAATAAAATGGAGGGCGACCCGGATGTTTATCGGGATGCGCAAATGAGCTGATGGCGCAAGCACAGGACAGATCGTGCTTCTTGGATGGCTCGAGTAGTGACACTAGCGCCGTCCAAAGCGCCTGGCACACCTCGGACTCTATCCCAGACACCGTGCAGGACGCTAGTTTGTAGCTCTGAGCAACGGTCTGTTGGTTTGCACCTGAAGCCAAAACACGCAACGCCACGGCCAGTCTTTGGGGAACACTCACGGGTTAGCTGTGCGTCATCCGCCGTTGGATGAAGGGTTGTAGACGGCGGACAAGCTCATCAAACCTACACACGGAGACCCACAATCCTAGCCAGTTCCTGATTGGCCCTCTGGCGTTGTGGCGTGGAATAACGTAGCGCAGACCACGCTTTAATATTGGGCATAAATCAAAAATATCTGCGACAAGCTAACTGCGACACACTGCTGCAGGACGATAACCAGCCCTTAAGGAAGTTAGCATCCAAAATTTGTTGAAAATTGTTTCTTTATTAGGGTAGAGCAGTAAAGCTTCTGGCCTTAACATTTTTCCTGCATTACTTTTACTTTTATAATTTTAATAATGATACTTTTACACTTTAGAGTAAAAAACTTAATTTGATCCTCTAACTTCAATAAAAGTGTTTTTTTTAAACAGCAGGATTTATACTGGAGTGATAAACCTGAATAGTTTGGACGCCTCTGCTTATATGAGCACCTTCCTGAGCGCTAAAACGGCTCCTCTGAGGTTCTGCTTCTGTTCCTGTTCTCAGCCCAGTTTAAACTAAAGGTTTGATTCTTAGTGCAAAATCAGCAATAAAAACCAAAACAGGTTTTTCCAAAAAAGTTCAAAAACAATCCTCTGGACTTTGTTTCCAAGTTTGAAGACGTTTCTCTTCCATCCAGGAAGATTTTTCAATCCAAAATGTCAGAAATAGCGTTTAGTTCCAGGCTTTGTTGGGCTGCTATATAAAACCTGGAACTAAACGCTATTTCTGACATTTTGAATTGAAAAATCTTCCTGGATGGAAGAGAAACGTCTTCAAACTTGGAAACAAAGTCCAGTGGATTGATTTAAACTTTTATAGAATGACTCTGACCTGCATGACTGAGAATCTTCACCACCAATAGGTTTGATTCTGACCTTAAACGTCCTCCAGCCTGTTTGGATTTCCTCACCGATGTTTCCAGGATTAACACGCCTGAGGAGGTCAAAGGTTACTTTCTGATTTTTATCCTGATAAATGTTGATCAAACCTGAATGAATCCAGAATGAGCTGAGCGTCATCAGGGAGGAAGAGGAGGAGTTTTCCTTGAATGAAGCTGGTCCGCAGCCTCCTGCTGTAACCTCCTGCTTTGGTTTTTTTTCTATCATGGTTCTCATGGAGAACCAAGGAGTTAAAGCACAATTTAAAGATGTGAACTCTGACATGCCTGAATGAAGAACCTCACCTGAAACGATCTGAAAAAGGTTTTTTATATATATATATATATATATCTGATTTCTGTCTTTATGTTAAAAGCTTTTTTTTCTTACCGAACAGCATGACTTCCTGCTGACACCTTCAAGGTCACCAGTTTCTGTGGGACTTTTCTGTTGAATCGTGGAGTTTGTACAGTTTCTATCATGTCGGTGTTGCCATTTGTTGCTCTGAATAAATCTTGTGTTGCAACACCTGCAAGAAGCTTTCCTGCTCGTTCTTCTAAATGCGCCTGGTTTCACTGCAGATGAAAACGATCAGCTGTAGATCAAACATTTTCTATCAGGTATGTTTTTACTGACGTCGACTGTAAGTCAGAAGGTTCAACCGAGGCGAGAAGTGATCAAAGGGTGACGCTCAAACACAAACGCTTTTATGGGGACATCATCCATGCAACATACTGAAAATATTGTCAAGTCTATATTTCCTTTTCTTATTTTGAATTAAATGGAGAACGCATTATAGAAAAGCCAGAGCATCGTCTACATCAGAAAGGATATAAGTTTATGCACATTTTCATTCCTTTCTCCAGCAATAAAGGATTTAACTTTGTTCCTAGAAGGATAGTTTACAGCAATAGACACCACAGAGTTATTTTAATTTCTTCATTATGGTAAATTATTTTCTATCCAGTTGAGCTTCAAATATATATATTTATATACAGGGGCTAAGGGGTCTTGCTCAGGGACCCAGTGGCAAGCCGTGGGAGTGGGTCTGGAACTCTCTCTCCATTTATATATATATATATATATAATATAATAAAAAACTTATACTTTATTGTCCTAGTTGCCTTTTGTATCTATGCTTCTTTTTCTATGTCTGCTTCTGTCTCCTTGAACCCCAGTGGGCCTCAGCAGATGGCCGCTCACACTGAGCCTGGTTCTGCTGGAGGTTTCTTCCTGTTCAAAGCGAGTTTTTCCTCTCCACTGTCGCTTCACGCATGCTTAGCGTGAGGGATTGCTGAAGAGTCAATGAAAAAATGAAAATAAGTCAACATGTTTTATAAATATTTCCGTTAATACGGGAAAAGAGTTAAAAAGTATAAAATAAAAAAAATAAATAACAACAAAAATATAAAAATGTATGAGTGGCTGGATATTCAAATACACTGAACCATTTGCTTGTTTTCAGCAAAAAAAAAAAAAACACAACCGTGAAAATCAGATTAATATTCAGTGACTTAAAGTTGACTAAAATACTTTATTTTGCCTGTTCAGCACATTACAGAGCAGAGCTCTCGACCGCCCCAAGATGGCGCCTCCAAACGACGTCAGCGCCCATAGGCGAAAGCGACCGATGCAGGGTCTACTCTTATGTTATGTTTTCCCTTCCCAAGATGGCCGACAGGTAGACGCCAGTTAGCTAAAGCTGTGTCACTTCGGTGGAGAAAAGCTCCTAAGAAATTAATTGATGCCGATGAAGAGCGGAGAGACAAAGGAGAACCGGAACCAGAAGCGTTTAAAGTTCGTTAGATTGCTGCGCCTGGACCTCAGCAGGTCCCCCCTAACAGCAGGGGGCGCTAAAGGGCGCTTCGGAACTACGTCCTGTGTGTGTTCGGGAACTTCCGGGTGAAAATAGCAACTTTCTGCAGATTGAAAACAAACCGAAGGGCGGAGGTTCCGTTGGACATACCAGTAAGTGGCGGTAATGCTACTAACAGTTTGTTGCCAACCGCCATAAAACTCGACAAGAAGAAGAAGAAGGTTCCGTTGGAATATCAACAGAACCCGGACCGCGAACAGCGGTTCTGTAATGAGCAGGTGGCCGAACTTGACTGGGTTCGGTCGGTCAGCATGGTGAAGTGTTTGGTCTCCGGCTGTCCGAACCGCGTGGAGGGATCCAATCATGGAGTGTTCAGCAGAACCCAAAAACGGTTCTTCAAGTTCCCCAAAGACCCGACTAGAGTGAAGGTAGGACCGAAACTCCAACACCCGGTACCGGGACCCGAACCTCTAACACCCCGGTACCGGAACCCACAGTCATGGTTCGGTCCAGATGAAGAGTTCCAGCCCAGAATAAAAGATGCTGAGTTTCTCCAGAAACAGGATAGAATGTGGAACCAGATGTGGTCCAGATTTAGATTCGGTCACTTTCTAGTACCAGCTGTTCTAGGAGCAGAGGACCGGATCAGAACCGAAAGGCTTGTTCCGCGGTTCGGTTCGGTTTTCTTTAGTTTCAGAACATTAAGGATCTGGATCTCCAGAACCGCTTCGGTTCTGAAACGGAAAAGATTTTTCAGCTGGAAGTGATCAGATCTGAAAAATATCTAATTCTATTGAATTTAGTTCTATAGCGCCATGTCATCTCAGGTCACTTTATAGATCCAGATCAACCAGATCATCCAGTCAGATTGATTCAAAGTTTTCTATCTAAGGAAAACCAGCTGATTGCATCGACTCATTGACTCTTCAGCAATCCCTCACACTAAGCATGCTTGTAGCGACAGTGGAGAGGAAAAACTCCCTTTGAACAGGAAGAAACCTCCAGCAGAACCAGGCTCAGTGTGAGCGGCCATCTGCTGAGGCCCACTGGGGTTCAAGGAGACAGAAGCAGACATAGAAAAAGAAGCATAGATACAAAAGGCAACTGTCAACCAGCTCCACAGGCGGCCCCGTCCAGGAAACACACAGCCAGGCAGACGAGCTCCGAGCCAGCTCCCATGTCAGAGGATGAAGAGAGCACATCCAGTTAGTCACAGTCAGAGAAACAGGACTACACTGGAAAACAGGCCAAGCTCCAACATCTAGAAACAAAGGTGTTGATGGCAGCAGCACAGCTGATATTTCTCTCCAGGATGGAGTCACAGCCAAACAGGAACAGACCAGATGAAGCTACTATGAGAAAAAGCAGAGAGAGCAGAACGTTAGAGATTGAACTAACAGATTCTGCAGAGTGGGAGAATAGAGATAGAATGAAGCAGAATGATGAAAAAGGGGTCCCTATGTCCTCCAGCAGTCTAAGCCTATAGCAGCAGAACTATAGAGATAGATCAGAGTGATCAGATCAGATTGATATTCCTTCCACTGGTTTATTGCTTTGCTCGGGTTAATTAAATTTCCTGTTTATATTTATTTTATTTCATTTTTTTTCTAATTTTAATTTCTAATGAATGTTCTGATCAATAAAGTAAAGAACCAAAAAAAGGCTGCTGTGGTTCCAGGTGTGGCTGGCAGCCCTGAGGCAGGCCGAGCAGCAGGAGCCGTCGGATCAGAAGCTGATCTGTGAGGATCACTTCCTGCCTGAGGACATCTCCTCTAACGAGGTCAGCGCCGACGCCATCCCCATCATGCCGCCCTGCCCGGACGGGCCGCTGGGTCTGATGGATCCGTGGGGAGCCGGGCCAGAGGAGGAGGAGGCGGACCAGTGGGCCAGCGGTACCGCCGGGCCCGATGAGGAGTACGAGGAGGAAGGTGGAGGCAGCCTTCCCTTCAACACCAAGCTCGCTCTACCAGAACTTCCTCCACTGGATCCAGCAGAGAACCTCGAACTGAAGGTGAAGCGGTTCTGAAGCTGTGGTGGATCAGAACATCATTCGGTTCTGGTCCTGATGCTGACGGATCTAGACCTGCAGCACTGATGAGTTCTGCTCTGTCCCTCCTGCAGGTGGCGCCTCTCACAGTGGCTCCCAGAGAATCCTTGTTCAGGTAATCCATCGCTTCTCAACCAGTCTGTTTGCTTCTGAAGGAGAATCCGGGCCTGATGATCCTCCATGTTTTCCCTACAGCCGATATCAGCAGGAGCCGCTGCTTCCGGCCAGGATCCACACCAGAGAGGGTTGGTTCTGCTGGATCATTTAAGGTTCTGCTGGTTCCAAACTGAACCATGTGTGTTCCTCAGATGTTTCTCTGCCGGTTCTGACCCGTCGATTCCTGGAGCTCTTCGTGAAGAATCCAGACGGTACCTTGGACCTCCGGACCGCCGTCAACAGCCTCAGAACCCGACGGCGCCGGGTCTATGACATCACCAACGTTCTGGAGGGGATCCAGCTGATCAAGAAGGAGTCTGCCAACA